ATTTTAACACTGTATTATTTTGTCTGCAAATGATTTAACAGAAATTCAGGCCAAAATTAGTGTTTCTTGTCAGTTAACATAACAAATGGTAAAGCTGGTGTGGACTGTCAGAATGGGCTTTGATAGTTCACCTGAAAAATTAAATTTTTGTGAGGGATGTCCACATCCTTTTACTGATCATTTTTTGAAAAAGAACACATTTAAGTTAATTGATTGAAGGACTTATTCACATAAACATAACAATTCTGTCATCATTTATTCACCCACGTTGCTCTAAACCCATATGGCTTTCTTGCTATTACTGGTTGCTCATTTTCATGCAGTTGCAATGAATGTGGTCTGCTACTTTTACGAGCTATTGTATGACTTGTGAGGATTTTCCTACTTTCACGATGCAGTTGTGTTCATGCCAAACAAACGAAAAAAAAAAAAATCTGTGCATCTTGACTCATTTGTGTCTAAAACTAGGAAAATTAAACATTAATTTGAAAATTAAAAAAATAGGCCTATGTTTTTGAAATAACTGCACCACTTGTAGTGCACATTGTCACATGACTTCACTGCTGCATGTTTAATTCAAATTTAACACGCAGACAAAATGAGGTCAATATAACAATATGGTTTGAAATATTTATCATTACATTCTGCATACTTCACAAACACAAAGCTGTCGCTGGGCAGTAACCTAAGGTACAAAAGCTGAAAGGTACATCTTATCTATCCCTAAATAGTATATTAAAAGTGCATATTAGTACCTAAAGTGTACATATTTACATACACAAGTGTACCTTTTGAACGGGTATTTATTTCTCATTTCATTCCACCACTCTATTTCAAGTTTCAGGGCAGCCACTGAACAAGGTTACCGAATTTAAATATCTGGGTTCGCTCATTAGGAGCGACGGTGACTCCCTCTCCGATGCCCGTGCACGGGTCAACGTGGCGTGGCTTAAATGGCGACAAGTTTCAGGCATCCTCTGTGACCGCCAAATGCCCATAAAACTCAAGGGCAAGATCTACAAAACCGTCATACGCCCAGTCGCGCTATATGGTTCAGAGTGTTGGCCAGCCACCACTAAGCATGAGTAGATCCTCCATGGTATGGAGATGAAGATGCTCCGTTGGTCTCTCGGCCTCACGTGATTCGACCGTGTCAGGAATGAAGATGTCCGAAGGCGCATGGGCGTGGCACCCATAGTCGTCAAGATGCGTGAAGCCCGACTCCACTGGTATGGCCACATCATCAGAAGTGGCGATGATACAGTGGTAAAAACAGCCTACCACCTATCACCACCTGGACGACGACCGCGTGGTCGGCCAAAGAAGCGGTGGCTCGATCGTCTGGCGGAGGACATGCACTCAGTCAATATCACCCCTGATGACGCCCTGGACCGAGCTAAGTGGCAAAAGGCGTGCAAACAAGCGGACCCTGCACCAACGCAGGATACACGCTAGGATGAAGAAGACTCTATTTCAAGTTTCTCTTTCACCTCTTTTGCACTAATTTGCTTCTTATGCAAACTTTGTACCTGCCAAGCTGCTACTAAACACCAGGCCTCTGTTGACCTCTGTTTACTTCTGTTAATGTGATATTTGAATGAATTAATCTTGCATTAACTGGAGAGAACTATGACTGTGGAGTGTGGATATCTGCCTTATACAGTAGCACCACATCACAATAATAAATACACTTTTTATCAGTTCTTAATGTACTTTATTTACTTGATTTTTATACTGTTTTTACAAATAGTGTTTTGGGAGTTTTTGTCAAATTTAGTTCAACTGTGGGTACAAATTTGCCTCAAAAATATGGTTAAGTAGTACAGTATGTTTTGTACACTGAGTGGATGGCCTGTTTTACTCTTATTTTAGGTTCACGTTATCTCAGAAGATATGGGAATGTTTGGAAAACCTGATTGAAAACAATAATTATTTTGCAGTTTTGTCTAGTGTCAATACTGGTGCAGATATTGCACACAATTCAAACTAAAACTGGAATATCTTTAATTATATTTCGATTTCTGCAGTACTCTAAGCTCCATCTACCATTTTCCATTTAACAATTTTTCAATTACCGTATTGCCCCGAATATAAGACAATGTTTTTTTCTTGGAAATACATCTGAAAAAACGCGGTCGTCTTATAATTTTTTTTAATGTGATTGTTGGTACATTTTACCAGTTTTTACCATACTTTCAAAACAAAAATTAAAATAGGAAAAATATGCAATATGAAAATAATTGAAGACAAAATGTGATTTACTGAGAAAAAACAAGATTTGTTTTTTTAAAAGCCTTTTTCCAAAAGGTACATCTGGAAAAAGGGGGGGTCGTCTTATAATCAGGGTCGTCTTATATTCGGGCCAATACGGTACAATCAGAAAGAATAAAAAAATATCCATTTGGACATGGTTATGACTTATTCACCTATTTTTTTTCTTGCACTATGCATGTCAGTGGACAGTTGACTTGATATGACAACTTTGAAAATAGCTGCCCCCATTTCTGGCATTCGCTCAATTTCTGTCAGATGGGAACTGACTGAACTGGGTCAATGCAGCACTTAAAATATTCAAAAACTAGATTTGAATGAAAAACTCTCCATCTGGGACATTTAATGAAGAACATGGAATTTGGCCAAACTTTTCTAGTAATGAGGATCGTACAAAATTGATAACACTTGTCCAGAATGAGTTACAGGCTATTATTTTACATGAACATGAAGGCACAAACAGAGAAGGATATTTAAACTCTCGTCGCTATTGCAAGCAATCAGTTTAATCCTGTTATGTCATAGGTTTCCCATCTTCCTTTTAGATGTACCTGATTTGACAGACTCTAGACAGCATGCTGTGCCTCATTAATGGCTCAAGCGGTTGGGATTATGGCGGCAAAAGCACATCTGATTGGAGCTCTGGGATTAAGACTTCAGAGACAAACAATCTTATTGGCTAAACAGCATCTGGAGGGATTGGTGAATTCCATTTCCACCACCCATCCTACTGCTGCTGTCTCCCTATGAGCAAAGTGCTCAACTTACCTGAGGCCAAAAGTATCAAAAGAAAGTATTTTTTGTTAATAGTGGTGTACAGTATGGATCAAGTCTGTAAATTTTTTACTCTACCAAAATTTTGTAATTAAAATGCAGTCAAATTAAAAACACAGAGCATATTCTTTCAGAAGATGGGATGCACTTACCGTTTTTTTTTCTTTCCAATTGCTAAAATGCATTGGTCAAAACTAAATTTGCATTGACTTCTGTTTCTCTGACTGTGAAGACAATGCAAATTCAGTTTTGTGAATAATTGAAACCTGTCTGTGAATAATTTTTCATTACTTTCTGAGGCCGAAGTCTCTAAACTCATCCTTTCCAATCATCCTACTACTTGTCCGCATTTTTTAAATATAATTTAGTTGAATAATGACAGAAAACCCCACATATGCATCTTTATTATACTCTAATATGTAATAATAATCTAATATATTCCTGGACAGCAACCAATCTGGCTTCAGAAGTAGACATTCGACCGAGACTACCTTGCTTTCAGTTGTTGAAGCCCTAAGACTGGCAAGAGCGGATTACAAATCTTCTATACTTATTTTGCTGGATCTGTCTGCTGCTTTTGATACGGTGAACCACCAGATTCTCCTGTCAACCCTATTGGAAAATGGCATCTCAGGAACCGTACGCCAGTGCCAATATTTATGTTGATGATGCATAGTGTATGATTAAAAAATTGGTGGTATTCAGTATTATTATATATTACTGGCACACATTCACAAACAGTACTCTTTGTCTATATCAATTACATTTGCAATGTATTGATTCCGGTTTGTCAGATAGCTGCAGGGCCCTCAGCTCAAGGCCCCCGGCAATCACAGGCCCCAGGCTACTGGTCCCATTGGCCTGGACCATAATCCACCCATAGTGGTATCTTGCACATTTATACAGTTAGACACATATATACACCAGCACAATCTCCATTTTTTTTTTTTCCCATTTTCCACCTTTCCTTCATTTGCACACCAGAACCTCTTTGTCTATATCAATTACATTTGCAATGTATTGATTCCGGTTTGTCAGATAGCTGCAGGGCCCTCAGCTCAAGGCCCCCGGCAATCACAGGCCCCAGGCTACTGGTCCCATTGGCCTGGACCATAATCCACCCATAGTGGTATCTTGCACATTTATACAGTTAGACACATATATACACCAGCACAATCTCCATTTTTTTTTTTTTCCATTTTCCACCTTTCCTTCATTTGCACACCAGAACACAATGGTTTTAAAAAGGTCAGTATTGATGTGAATTTTCACATTGACCAGAACTTCTGCACTTTCAAAAATACATTCTACTTCCTTTCTACAATACTATTCACTTTTTTACTGTATAATTTATTGTCCTCTGTCAGTGTGAGTAAAAATACAATATAATTCCACAAATTTTACTTTTACACAAAATAGATAAAGTTATAGTACAGTAAAAGATTGTCATAAAAATAATATCACAAATAATAAAAATATGAATAATAATAATACATAAAAATAAAATAATATATGCTTTAATTTTTTTGTTTCATCTACAAGAGTTGCATGAAATTCACCCCAAAAAGCTTTTAAGACTTTTTTGAAGTATTCACATTTCATCAAAATTAAATATTAGAGTTCATCATTAGATTGCAATGACTGTTGTTTGTTTGTTTTTTATATTGTTTGTATATTTGTATATTCTGTCTAATCACTTGACCTCAGAGGAATGAGCAGAGACAACATTTATTACCTTTTTTGGTTTTCCTCATTTAAACCAGCAGAGCAGAGTTCAGATCCACAACATTTATGTCCTGTTATATTTACTACATTTCTATTGCTAAACAAACATTTACATTTTACGTCATTCAGCAGAAACTTTTATCCAAAGACAAGTTAAACAGTCAAGTGCTTCTAGAAGAGTCAGTGTTTTTTTTTTAATAAACACAAACATGTTTTTCATTTTTTTGTAGATCACCAAAAACTGGAACGAGAGGCCCGAATTTGTCGTCTACTCAAGCATCCCAACATTGGTAAGTGCCGACACACACTAACATTCTCCAGTGAAGGTTCGCTTGCCATGGCCTTACAGCACTAAAACTGCCACTGTTTTATGAGCTGTTTTATATACAGCATTTAAAATATAATAAGTATTCAAACCAGATGTGGCATGACAATGTTCAAGCTTCACAGTAATTTTTCTGTCCTCAGTGAAAGCAAAAATTACCTAGCTGTCTGGTGAGCGTGACTGGGGCACGAGCGAGAAATGGAAATCCCGGTGTGGATCCAGGGCAGAAAAGTGATTACAGAATACTTTTAGCATGGATTGAAAGCCTGGGGAAGCCCATGAGGGCAAAGAGGCAGTGGCTCAGACCATGTAGCTTCAACTCCCTGTGCACTTCCTTGGCTGGCGAGGCTACCCAGTGTCACAATGAATCAACCGACAAAAGGCTCTTATCACTTGTTGTAGCTAGTTTGGAGAAAACCTCGTTTATACAGCATCGCAACATTGCATTGCAAGAGTATTGAGTATGGATTTTCACTCTGGTTTGAGCACGGTACTCTGTTTTAAGTTACATTAAGACAATTACATTTCTTTCATAGTGCTCACATTCATGGATTTTTCAGTGCTGACCTCTAGCTGTTAAGGTGGTAACAGCTAAAAATGGCCATGCTTTTCTGCCCACACTCACCCACCTCCTAGCCAGATGCATGATTACAAGCGTGGGTGAATTCTAGCAGTAATTATGGCTATAACACAAAGCTACAGATAAGCTGAAAAATTTAGTATCACATTCCCGCCCCCATATGTTCATCCATTACATGAGAACACTAAGCCATTGAATCTATTCAATCTGTTTTTGTTCCAGAGTTTACATCAGATGACAGAAAATTTTAACAGTTTTATTCTAATGTAAATTTGACAACCTTACTATCTATCTATCTATCTATCTGTCTGTCTGTCTGTCTGTCTGTCTGTCTATCTATCTATCTATTTGTAATGGCTATAACACAAAGCTACAGATAAGCTGAAAAATTTAGTATCACATTCCCGCCCCCATATGTTCATCCATTACATGAGAACACTAAGCCATTGAATCTATTCAATCTGTTTTTGTTCCAGAGTTTACATCAGATGACAGAAAATTTTAACAGTTTTATTCTAATGTAAATTTGACAACCTTACTATCTATCTATCTATCTATCTATCTGTCTGTCTGTCTGTCTGTCTGTCTGTCTATCTATCTATCTATTTATCTATCTATCTATCTATCTATCTATCTATCTAATCTTCATTGGCATTACTTTAAACAGGACAATATTGCCAAAGCTTTAGTTTGTGATTCCAAATTTAAAGTAATAACATGTTAGGACATTTGCGGTCAACAGTCAGATTTTCATTATTATGACATCTGTTACTCATAACATAAAACCCAGTGGCTTTCCTAAACTAACAGAGGGAGTTCTCCTCTCCAAAGCAACCATCATCTGGAAAGCCATTCTCTTCCTGTTACTATGGCAACAGGTTTGAGCAACCATCTGTATCATAGATGAGAGAAGATACATGATATATTTATACAGAGGGGATTCCTCCCCGTCTCTTTTTTTCCCCCATGTAATCCATTCATATTTCTAAATCAAAAGGTCAAGCCTTTCGATTTCTTTGATAAATTACATGATGAATTCCCTCTGCTCACTTTAATCAAGTAGCTGTCATGATCTCTTTGGTTTCATTACAAGATTTCCACTTTTCATTTTGCTGTTTAGCAAGACTGAGTTATTGTTAATACTGATGTGCAAAGGTCTGAATTCTACATACCTAGACAGCATTTTTAGGCATCGTAGGCGTGCTGTTTATGTGAAGGATGTTCCAGTAAGCAACAAAAGGTGTCTACCATATAAATACCTATTTTTGTCCATTTTGAGGTAGCCCTTTGTGTATCCACCGTTTAACGTAAGAGCGGGTGGCATCTTTGGAGTCAGTGTTGCTGTGTCAAACTGGTTGGCATCCCACCACCAGAGTTTTTTTTACTGTTCAAGGAAATCACTTGACAGTGCCTTAGGTATAGGATGTGTCTGCATATTAAGGTGGGATAGAAGAAAGTATTTTTACAGAAAAAAATGACACACTTCAGCTTTAATGGATCTTTGACAATGAAAGGAAACAGAAGCAGAAATAATTCTAATTTGTGGAGTAAATGAGTCACTCCCTCTTTCTAATGAGTATGAAAGTGAGCTGCTCCATACAATCTAATCAGTGTCTCTCTCTATCTCTGTGTTTTCTCGACAGTGAGGCTCCATGACAGCATATCAGAGGAGGGTGTTCACTACCTCGTCTTTGATTTGTGAGTGATTTTTGTGTGTGTATGTGTGTGTCTCTGTCTGTATGAGGTCGCGTCTCCGGTTCTCCTATTAAATGAGTGTGACTGTTAATGAGAGCTCCTCCACTCACCAAATAAATGAGACTGAACCCAGATCAGAAAAGAGCCACAATAAGTGAGCTACTTAGACACTGTAGATTGCCATGATTGTGAAGCTACAAGCTCATAATTTAAATGACTTAAACAGTCAAGTATACATACATGATATACTTCAGAAATCATTCTAATATGCTGATTTGCTGCTCAAGAAATTTTATCAATGGAAAAACAGTTGTGCTACTTATGCAGAAACCATATACTAACATTTAAATGTTTGGGATATGTGTGTGTGTGTGTGTGTTTTTTTTTATATAAATTAATACATCTATTCAGCAAAGAAGCATTCAATTGATCAAAAGTCAAATGTTACAAAATATTTTATTTCAAATAATGTTTTGTTTTGTTCTTTCTACTCAAAGAATCCATAAAAAAATTAAAATAAATAAATAAAATAAAATATTAAGCAGCAAAAACTGTTTTTAAAATTGATAGTAATAAGAACCAGTTTTAATAACTGAGCACAAATAATTATTGAGCAGCAATTCAGTATATTAGAATGATTTCTGAAGGATCATGTGACTCTTTAGACTGGAGTAATGATGCTGAAAATTCAGCTTTACAAAACAGAAATAAGACAGAACTATAAACTATAAGTAACATAGCAAAAGTACAGACACTTAATACATTACAGTATATAATGCAACATTTATACAACAGTTTGTGTCTTCTGGTTTGACTGGCAAACAAGGCATGCCATTTTGTCACATAAATTACCTAGACTTTACATTTAATTTACAGTGCAGTTGTATTACAATAGTAATATATTACCTGTCTTAGGGTTAAAGCGGCCATATGATGTTGCTAAAAAGAACATTATTTGGTGTATTTGGTGTTATGAAATATGCGGTTTAAGGTTCAAAAAACACATTATTTTCCACATACTGTACATTATTGTTTCTCCTCTATGCCCCGTCTTTCTGAAACGCGTCAAT